ATTCAGGTCACAGGAAGATATAATACTTCCTTATTCCAATAACATAGCTTCAAGACTGGGCACTGTGGCTCACACCAGTAATCCTAGCACTCTAGGTCAAGATGGGTGGACTGCTTGAGCTGAGGAGTTCAAGATCAGCCTAAGCAAGAGTGAGACCCTGTCTCTACTAAAAATGAAAAGCTGAGGCAAGAGGATCACTTGAGCCCAAGAGTTTCAGATTGCCATGAGCTATGATGCCATGGCACTTTGTCAAGGGTAACAAAGTGTGACTTTGTTTCAGAACAAAAACAAAAACATAGCTTTAAATACATAAAGGAAAATATTGAAAGAATTACAAGGAGAAATAGACAAATCTACAATCATGGTAAAGATTTTAACATGTAACCAATAGAGCATGGGGTGGTGCCTGTGGCTCAAAGGAGTAGGGCGCCGGCCCCATATGCCAGAGGTGGTGGGTTCAAACCCAGCCCTGGCCAAAAACTCCAAACAAACAAAAAAAAACAACAGGTAACCAATAGAGCAAGCAAACAAAAAATTAGTATGCATTGAGCTGGGCACAGCGGCTCACGCCTGTAAACCCAGCACTCTGGGAGGTCAAGGCAGGTAGATTGCCTCAGCTCAAGAGTTCCAGACCAGCCTGAGCAACAGCGACACCCTGTCTCTAAAAGTAACCAGCATTGTGCAAGGCACCTGTAGTCCCAGCTACATGGGAGGCTAAGGCAAGAGAATCACTTAAACCCAAGAGTTTGAGGTTGCTGTGAGCTGTGACATCACAGCACTCTACCAAGGGTGATAAAGTGAAACTCTGTCTCCAAAAAAAAAAAATTAGTATGTATTTAGATGATTTAAACCGCACAGTTGGCAAAGTTGATATAAACAGACATACATAGAACACTACAGAATACACATTCTTTTCAAATACACAGAACATTTACAAAAATTAAACTAGTCCTGGGTAAAAAAAGTGTCCAAATTTTCAAAGAATTTAAATAATACAGAGTATATTTTCTGACCCCAATGTAATCAGGCTAGATGGGCACAACAAAAAATAACTAGAGAAATCCCCATGTGTTTGGAAATTCAGAAATACAATTCAGAATAGTTTGAGCCAAATGATTATAAATAAGACAACTTACCAAGTTGCTCGAATATAGCTAAAGCATTACTTAGAGAGAAAGGTATGGCTTTGAATACTTAGAAATGAAAATCTGAAAATCATCAAACTACATAAACATCTACCTTGAAAATTTTTAAAAGATGAGTAAACTAGGCCCACATAAAGTAAAAAGAAAAGGGCAGCGCCTGTGGCTCAGTGGGTAGGGCACCGGCCCCATATCCCAAGAGTGGCGGG